CAAGCTCAGAATGGTCACAGGCGATAAGTGACTCATGAAATTCTAAGTAGCAAAATGTAAGGCAATCCAGAGAGGAGCCGAAAGTAAAAATAGCAGCTGCGGTTAAAAAGAAAAATTAAGCACGGGCCAGGAGAGATCTGTTAAATCCTGGCTGGAGCTAAACGCTGCTTCATTCCTGTACTGGCTGCCACAATGTCTCGTTATGTACATACACACACATATACACGCAGGCTTCCATATGTTTTGTGTACACACTAGGCATTTTGTTTTGCAAAACACTTAGGAGAAAGGTGAAATATAAATGCGAGATATCTGCAGATAACTGGGCCAGAGATAGGAGGAAAAATGAGAGCTGTGTATAAATATACAGAAGTTATTTGAGAAATTGAGGCTCTGAGCATATTGTACGCAAACTTTGCAGCTGTGACATTTGATTATGAAGAAACCAGAGTGATTCAGTGCCGGCCTAATATTTCTGCAGATTTTAGCAATAAAATAAATGTCACGGTGCTTCCAGGTAAGAGCTCAGGCTCCCAGGTTCACATGTTTCTACTGCTTCTATCATCTAAGCAGGGCAGGACATTCAGACTCCTTCCCTCCTGTGTTTATGGCATCAAAGAGAATTAATCTCCGGCTCTTGGCAGGCATGTGGACTGATTAAAAACATACAAAATTTACACAAAGTGTTCTCATGACTTGGGAGCTCAAAACAGTATTTCAAGTGCTTCACAACTCCCCTTTGAAAAAGCAGGAGCAGACTAGGCAGAAAGTTCCCCTGAAGATATTAAATCCCAGAGGGAAGGGAAAAGCAGCGAAGCAGTGCCAGCAGGGTTACTGAAATCATAAACAGCTCAAAACATATTGTCTAGGAGAAAGCAAAAATGGAACCAAACATCTAGCAGGGGAGTGCTTCGGGTCCTCATAAGCACACAGGGATATTTAAATTGACAAAAGCATTAACAGCAGCAGCATTCGCTAGCTGCAGAAAGCAACGGGGTATTTTTCAGGAGTTGGTTTTGTTCTAGCAAACTGCTCAAGTTCAGGAGGTTTGCTTCAGCCCTGAAGATTCGGATATTTAGGGAGCACGAGCGGAGTTAGTTCAGCTCAAGGGGAGCACTCAAGCCCAGAGCCAACATGACAGCCCTACATCTGGCTCTGTTTAGATTTGTGTTCCTCAAGGATGCGCATTTCCCTTTTTACTGTGCATCGTACAGATCTTGCTAGGAAAAGGCATCCTGCACCGAGAAGGCAGCTGTCTGATTACACAGCAAAGACCAAGCAAGGACCAGGCGGTGCCAGAAATACCAGAAAGGTACTGCAGGACACCATGAAACACTGGAAGCTCTCCTGGGAACTGCTCTTTTCACACAGATCCCAGGATGGTTTAGGTCTTTAAGCATTGTCAGGAGAGCACTGCCCCTGGGGTGGCATCGTTTAATGGACTACAGCAATAATTACCAACCTGAGAAGGGCAGGGAATAAATGCCACGCATATTTGAGAAGGGAGCTGTGGATGGGATGAGGGAGAAGAGATTTAGCAGAAGAGCCACCACACTGAACGAAGGCTTCTGCTAGAGACCCTCAAAGTCGAAGAGGACCACCACTCTTTTAGGGTTTAGGAAAGGTCCACACCTTTCCAGATGACCAATCTGGAACCCGCTTTAAAAACTTTTTCTATTCAGGTTTGTCGGTCGTCCTTTAGAAGAGAACACCAAGTTTTCATGCACCTTATACTCAGAGCCATGCTGGGATAAAAGCAATTTGAACAGATTAGAAAGCAACTAGTAGCAGTCATTTTTCAGAAGCGGATTTCATGTATGGATATGCTTGAAGCCATCATGTTGTTTGCTGCAAAAAGCCCATGCCATATTCAAAAATGCATTAAGATTTTTTTTAAGATGGGAAGAAAATTTTAGCCTACAGTACTAGAGGAACAAGGAAAGCTGCAAGAAGAGCATTTTGGCTTTAAGCTTCGGCATGAAAGTGTAATTTATTAAAGGAAAAGAAACTGCTGGATTCTATACTTTATACAAGCCAGTGACTTACACAGACAATTTGAACTCTGCATGTTATCACTGCAGCAGAAGCTATTCAGTGCTGAGAACAGAAGGGCTGCAAACAAGCTACACGTGTGCTCTAGATGACCTCCTGTCCGTTTATGGGCTCCACCGTCTCTGAAATCCTTCACTTCCACCTCTTTACAGATCGGAGATCGCCATGGCAAATTTCTTCCCTACTAACTCCCACCCCGTGTTATCCAGTGCTCAAGCGGCTGAGGACGGCTGGGTTAGGACACCCGTGCTCACTGGAACGGGCAGACCTGGGAGAGAACAGGACCTCGTCTCATTCACAAGCTTGTTTCACCCCTAGGAACGCTCCCGGTTCAGCCGGGATGTAGGCTCGCTCCGGAGCTATCTGTAATGCCAAAACCGGTGGTATCGGGCACCACACACCCAGTCTGCCTCCGAGAGCGGTGCGGAGATGGGGCTGGTCCAGAGGAAGGGGCTGAGACGTCACTCAGCCCTGGCCATCCAGATAAGCTGGGCTGGGGCAGCAGAAATGGGAACCAGACAAAGAAAAACAAACCTCTTCCTGCAGCTGGTTGGGAGCTTCCCCGGGTCCTAGCGCTTCCACTGCCCAGCTCTTTCCTCCCCACAGCAGAGCTGAGCCCTGCTTTGCTAAGCCAGCTTTCTGACTGTTTATTCAGCCTGAAACCTCAGCTGCACACTGCTTCGCCCGGGACGTAACCTGTGCTTCCAGCAGCCCTCACTCAACAGACGTTAAGGCAGGCTCTAGAGCAATTTTTCACGCTGAGGGTGGTGAGACACTGGCACAGGTTGCTCAGAGAGGTGGTGGATGCCCCATCCTTGGAAACATTCAAGGCCAGGCTGGATGGGGCTCTGAGCAACCTGACCTGGTTGAAGATGTCCCTGCCCATGGCAGGGGGGATGGACTGGATGGCCTTTAAATGTCCCTTCCATCCCAAAGCATTCTGTGATTCTATGATTTTGGGAAGCTCAGCGAGAGAAGAGGTGGTTTTCAGCCGCTCAGAGACTCGTAGGGCCAGGGAAGCATGCTGGAAGGTGCAATGAGTCTGGAATAAGACAGTCACAACATAGCAAGCTGACAGATGGAAAGCTGCTGTACTAAAAGGCAGACAGCAAAAGCAACATTAGAAGGGACGAAGCAATTAGAACAGAAAATAACCCCCTCCACACCCACCCCTCTCCCCAGGGTGACAAGGAGCAAAGCCATCCTTGTGGTGTCAGTTCTGAAAATACAGCTGGGCCAACTCTGATCCCAGGTTGCCTTTTACTCTCGCCTATCCCAACCAGCACTAAACAGCCGCCAAGCCAAACCACCAAAAGGTCAAACCTACCACCTTCCATGCAACTAACCGGAGCCTAAATCAACAGCACTATGAATATACAAGAACCTGGCTGATGTTTAACTGCATTGGCTTCATAGGCTACTGGAAAGAAAGTTTGTTTTTGCTTTAAGCCAGCAACCTTGATTTCTGATACGCACGGGAAGAACATCAGGAGAGAGAAAAATAATCTTGAGTAGACCAACACCAAAGCAATTAACAACAAGGAAAGTGGGGTTTACGTGCTTTCTGAGAGCTGTCTGTAGCCAGCCCACATTTAAGACTGCCAACATGACCGTACCCTGATCCGCGTCGGTTTGTGGCACTTGACAAGTGGGGAGGGAAAAATGACTGGCACCAAATAACATACTGTGCATTTCATCAGCAGAGGTTTATAGCAAGTTTCAGAGCTGACTCAAGAGGAAGGAGAAAAGGGTTCACATAGCTGCAGCAATACTGCATTGTTACTCAGCTGCGTGCACATTTCTGCGGTTCGGTTCAGGTTTCAACAGAAAAAAAAGAAAGGTAAAGGACGGCGTAAAAACAGCGTCGCTCTTTCCCAAAAGGCACGGTTCACATTTGGAACTAGACAGATTATTTCTCACACCACAGAGAGAGATGTTAAACAGAAGGAACTCTTAGCGTAAGAGTCTATTTTAAGAAAGCAGCCCATACTTATCAACTCCAAATCAGGATGTTGATATTGGAAGGGACCCATCTTGTCCAACCCATATAGTCAAGTTTCCACATCAGTTCTCCTGGGGCAGTTTCCTCCGTTCTTTAGAGTCCTCCGGCGGCTTGAGCCACAAGCACAGCCTTCTGACGGAGAAATGCCATGTCACCGAGTTACCAGCACTTATTTCATAAGCCAGAATAGACATGTTGGAACTTCATGCATCTGCTCCAGTTTTTCAAGCAACATTGGCTATTTTATTTATAGCTTAAGTGACTGGAATAAAGTTAGGTACCAGAAGACATCCAAGTTAGATCACCATTACCCAAGGACAAAGATAGGATGGATACAGTCTAAAGAACTTTTCCTTATCAAACTTCCTATTTGCTCTCAAAGGTTAAACAAGCCCGACCAGGCTCGCCAGCTGCAATTTTTCTGGTGATAGGTCCCTGCTTCTATGTTCTTCTGCACATGCATCACCTACTCCAAGAGGACAGAGGCTTCAGCTCCTGCCTTCACTTCCATCCACTTCTGGACAAGAGGTCCCAAAAGCTAGATTCACCCCAAGACCACGAACATGCACTGTGGGCTTTGCTCTCCAAACTGAGTCATTTTATATAAACAGGCTCCAGCACTCACTGTGGTATCCTGCACCTTACCTATGAATGGATATATTATTAAAAAAAGCACACAGTAGAGAGACTCAGTTCATCACCACACCAACGTGTGATCAAATCGCATTTCCAGCTCCTAGCCCTTCAAGCCAAAAGACCAAACTTCCTCTCTGCTTGGCACGTGATAACTGGAAGTCTACGGTAAAAGCATCCTGCAGACTTGAAGTAAGGATCTTATGATTGCACTGAGGGTTGGTGCAACTTCACCTGCAACGATGCTGCAAGCAATGACCTCTCTCCTGCATAAACAGTAACACAGTTTTGACTGAAAGTGATTATTGGTTACCTATAGACGGGGATTTGAAAGGGTATTTATCAGGAAGGTCGACTCTAACTTTCCATACTCCACCTTCATACGGTGCTGCAATGAAAGAAATGCAGATATTAGACACTTAATAACTCAGGAGAGAATAAATAGAACTACAGCATTAAGCAAAACACATCTGTGGAATAATACTTAGCTCCATCAGGGGGTAAGATTTCATATCAAACCTCCTACGGTAAAAGCCTTTTTCCTGTGCTGCCTGACAAGAAATACATGATTTTAACTGATACTGCAGAAGATCTCGGCACAAAGACACAAGAGCCTTATTCAAAACAGAGACTTTGGAATAATCTACTTACCTTTAGAGATGTTACTAAATTAAGGCATGCTGGAGACCCGACTTGTGATCTAGTCATTAGAAAAGCCATCTTAATTACAAACCCCGCAAAAATTCAGATGACTGATGCAAAACTTACGAGCCAGGTCTAGAAAAGCTAAGGATCCACAAGAGCGGTGCTGAAGGCCATAGCAGAGGGCTTAGTTGTCCGAAGGCAGCATCCAGCCCTGCTCAGCTCCAAGGGAGGTGGTTCATCCGTGTTAATGCTCACAGTTGTATTTCTCCCCGCCCTTGAGAGAGCAGCCTTCAAACACTGCTACCCTTTGATTTCTCACCCCCACTTAGATTTGCTCATCTCTTCTGCCACTCCAGAAGAATGTGTCATTTCACTGCTCCTCACCATGAGCCATTAGTTTGTTTTTATAGAAGGGCTGGGTCATATACTTACTTCCTTGTGGTCCATAAAACTTCACAACAAATTCATTGAGTCCTCCTAAGATTGTGACTTCGTGTTTGCTCTCAATACTGATACATCAAGTAAAGGAAAATATTTAGCCCAGGAAACAAAACCCATTTAGTTGGATATGGGTAACTTGCTAGAAGCCTGTCAAACCAAATAGTTTAAACCCAAATATTCAAAATATTCTACAACATGCAATTTAAGCGCCTTGACACATCTAAGTGACCACACCACCACAATGACGTTAGTAAAAGCCAATTCTACACACTGAAGAATCCCTCCTCCTGCACTGAGCAATCTTGAGATGATGCCCCCCTTCCCCTCAGAGCTGCTTCGTGTTTTCCATCTCCTTCCGCACAGCGTAAGCTCCTATTTAAGAAAATGCCGAGTCCCTATCAGCAACCTATTTGGAAACATATTCGGGCTGCGGAGGGGAGCTAAAAAAATCTAGAAACAGCAACAGCTGTGAAGCCTCACCGCACACAGACATGAACCCCAGGGGCAAGGTTCGGAGGTGAGGCCAGGAGTCGGAGAGACCTCTCTCCTTTCCGGCGCTTGGGAGATGAGCCACAAAGCAGAAAGTCACCCTTGCCAACCACTCACATTAAACGTTTACTCTCCTGCCCAGATCAGAGGAGCAGAACTTGCTCCAGTCCTTGACAAATGCGAGAGCTGATGAATTCAATTCTCCTTGGCTGCCTTCGGCGCTGTCAGACGGCCTCCCACAGCTACGATGCAAATTACGGCAATCTCATGTTAATTTGACTTGCAAGACCAAAAAACTCTCTGCGTCTTCGGAGAGATGGAAGAAGGGCGAGATTATGAGGCACTGTTACAGTGCGAAAAGAACAACTGTATTTCTCCACATTTAAAGGAAAGAATCGAAGTGCCAGCGCTTTGGGAAGAAGGGAATATAAACGGAAAGGCAAGAAATCTTCATTTCAAGTAAGGCTCAGTTAAGACAATTAATGGTGATGTTTCAGCACCCAAGCTTGCTGAAGAATTCTCCTATAAATCGGGGTTAATGGATTGTGAATAATATCCTACAGCAATTACCTTTAATCAATAATCTTAATATGAATTACGAGGGAAGCATCAGAAAAAAAAAACAGAGCAGGAGAAAAATCAAAGGTTTATTCCCACCTGAACTTCAGACTGCTTCAGCTCGGCACCACAGAGACTGCCCCCATTTGACGGATGGGGGCAACAGCACAGAATATCTAATAAAAGATCCTTAACATCACAGCAGCGAGCTTGGCAGAAACGCTCGGGCTAAGAGGAACTGAAGCCAGGTTCCCTTTTACAACCAAGACTTTTTTACTCTGATGCAAAAGGTTTTCTGCTTTCAAGGCACAAAATTTGCCCAGGAGGCTCTCCACTTTGCAGGAATTACGGCAGACCCCCTTGCACCTTCATGGCACTGAGCAAACAGGCACCCGTATACATGCTCACTTAAATATTCCTGACCCCCCAGGAACGTAACTGCCTGGGACCTACCACCAGAAACACCTAATTCTCAGCTCAGACCTACCCCTGATCTCACATTACGATCCATGAAGTCTCCTTGAGGTGTATCACAAACTCCTTTAAGAGAAGAGGCTCCTGTATCCAGAAGCGCCAATTCAGTCCCGGCGGTCTGCGTGCATACTTGTATGCAGGAGATCCAAGTCCCGTCTGTGGGGTCTGTCAGGATTTATTACAGTTCCTCAAGTACAATGATTCCCAGATTGGACAGAGTTTTCCCACAGTGCCAGCTCCAAAAGAGTTTGGATGCAATAACCTTCTTCCCCTCATTCTCATGGGGAGGGAGAAAAGTTTATAGCGGTTTCTTTTGGCTCCAGAGTTTTCTTGGTTCAGCATAAGCTGCTCTGCCCTACAGTTGAATGGCAAGTAGCTCGCTGCACCTGGCAGCCACCCAAGAGCAGCTCGCAACGGGCAGATCGATGCCCAGCTGCCCCAAGTGCAAGTGATTTCTCTGCTTTCTCTGACATCTCTGGGAAAAGCTACATCCCTACAGTAGCTTAGTATCCCACCTTGCTTCAGACCTGATGTTACGGGACACTTGTCACCAGATCTTTTCATGTCACCCAGTACCATGACAGTACGTTTTAAATATAGGCTCGACTGAGTTTAAGTTCCTTTGAAAACGTACACGCTCATCTAATGGGTAACTATTCCAGGTTCAGAAACGGGCTCTTGCACAAACCCGCTGCATATGATGATGCCCCAGAGTGAAACGTTTAATACTGAAGTATGTTAACACTTACAGCAGCCTCGCGGATCAAGTTAAATACAAATGGTTTTACTTAGGACTAAATCAAGTACCACTTAATAAAAACCAGCTCTCCCAGCCTGATCTTCAGAGCGAGCTCCTGAGCAGCTTATATGCACTTTGGCTCCGCAAGTTAATACCGACCATAAATTAAAACAGAGCTTTCTGCACTCAAACTCAGTCCTAGTGTTCCCAAGTTCAAAAAACTACTAGTAAGCAATGCGGTGCCATATTTGATTATTTTCCCTGTTGTGGTTAAGGACCTAAAATTCCTACAAAAAACCCAGCAATTGAGTTAGGCTCATGAAAGGGATACATATTGGGATGCAGATGCTGCATTTGGGAACAACCGCATCGTTTATTAACATGACACAAGAGTTTGGGGACAGACTGAACACAAAGTGCATTTCAGCAATAAAGCCCTTGTATCGACACAGGGGAAAATCTCTGGAAATGCCTTCGCAGAACTGAGGAAGCTAGGGAAGCCCTCTTTCCTGGGCACGAAGTGAATTCCAGGGGAGCCCCCACTTTCTAACACAAGTGGGGTGAACTGTCTTCCCCTTCCCTCTCCACCACATTTTCTCTAAAGGTCGAGATGCCCAGGAATTTGAAACCTTGAAATCCCACTAAGAAAATTATTAAGAGCGCTAGCGGGAGAAGTGCATGGAGCAATTACAAAAACAAGAATGTTTACACCCCACGAACTCTTTCCATCTCCAGGAGGTCTTCAGAAAAGGAAAAAATTATTGCACAAGCTGGAACTCCAGGAATACTGGGAACCCGAGGCAGACCTCAAAGCTTCTCCATCCCACAAAGCCGTACCGGGAAACCCTCTAGCAGCACAAGGAAAAAGCATGGGGGAACACCAGAAGGGACTTGACATGTTTGGAGGACTGTCCCTCCGGACCACGTTCCCAGAGAAAGCTCCAGCATGGCTGAGGGCAATGTATCTCAGAGTAAAGAACGGAGGCTCTGACCCAACTATTTTCTCAGCTCAGACAGATTTTTTCCATAAGGCAGAAGTCTTACAACCAAATCCCAAATGAATCCCGTTCCAAACACGCCAGCAATTAATCAGCTGTCTCAGATCCAAAAAAAAAAAAAAAAAAAAAAAAAAAAAAAAAAAAAAAAAAAAAAAAAAAAAAAAAAGAGTTGCTAGTTTGGAGACCCACAAGACTTAAGGAACCCAGTTGTGCCTAGGGCACAGCAAACCTCCCCTCCTGCATTCAGAGCTAGAAGGGCCTGGTGCCGAATCCCAAGCTAGCCCAAGTAGCTCCCAGGAAGCAGAAATGCTCCAGGTCTTCAGCAAACCGAGTACCAGCTTCGGGAAGCCCCAGAAAAAAAGAGCATCAAGAATTTGGAGCAAGATTTCCCCAGTTAAGTTGACCAGACCGTTCACAGCAGCTCCCGTGCATTTCTCCCAGGATAGCTACGTTCGCGTCCAGGATTCCCATCCACCTCTTTCAATCGACTACGGATGTAAATCTGTGCCGAAAGCGCTCCTGCGAGCGCCCAGGACTTCAAACCCCCAGTCAGCATTTACGGGGAAGATCACAAACCCCTCACCTTGTTTTAGTCTCCTCTGTCCAGAGGAATTCCTCTATGCCCACACTCTCTCTCACCACTTTTCATTATTCAGATTTGCAGAAAGAGAACGAGCAGTTAATGAACAAAGACTTTAACGTTCTTGATTCTAGTGGCAATCCAGTGGTTCATACTGGTACGAGCAGTCCGCCTTGTTTCCACTGCAGGGCACACGGCTACACCGCGTGTACATGGCGTCAAGATTACAGAGCTACAAAACCACCCTGTAACACACGCGCTAAAACGTTTAACAAAAATACAACCAGATCCCTTTCAAGACTCTCAGCTTGCTCCTACTCGTCTAGGTGACTTATGGCCTTGCTGCTTTTATCTCCTTATCATCTCAGTATATTAATTTGACTTTGTGTTAAATAAAGCCAGTGTAAAAGTCAAGAGAAAAGAGCAAAATCTGGAGACAAGTCAGGTTTCTAACAGATAAGAAGTTCAAAAGCTTTACCTTAAGACCACAGAAACTAGAAGGGAGTCCTGAGGACCTGGGGATAAATTATCTTAGTCCCAAAACCATTAAGAGAATTTTAATGACAGTAAGTGTCGAAAATATTTAGATGATGATATAGAAAGCAAGCTTATTTTCAAATATCAGTTCGGAAGGGGTTGCTAGGGGAGAGACAGAAGGGAATTTTTCTGCGGCTGATTACAGCCTCCCTATATAGTGCCTGAAATGTGCCAGAGGCGCAAAGGCCAACCGCACCACGTATTAGCATTACAGTAACATCCAGAGCCCCCTATCAAGATCAAGGCTCTATTGTTCAGGGTTGAGCTCGTACAAAATTGTTTCTTCGCTCAGAATGAAAAGTGATTTAAAGCGTTTTGCCCATTCTGCGTTGGGACAAAAAAAAAACCCACACACAAAACCTTTCAAATCTGGAGAGTGAGAGACTGCCCAACCATCAGTCAGAAACAGACTGGCCACCGTGGATTTGCCTGTTCCAGGATCGAGTTCCCATTCCCTCATCCTCGCGCGGGGCCACCCACCACTGTAGGGCTGGATCTCCCCTACAGGAATAAAAAAAAAAATTGTTAGGATTCAACTTCACACCCAGATCTCCCAAAATCCCTCATGAACATTGCGGCCAACAGATGGCTAGTCTGTTTGCAGGGTTGAGTGTTTTTTTTTTTTTTCCTGGCAAACATTTAGCCCTAAAAAAAAAAAAAAAATCCCTTCATTAAGTTTTTTTAAAATTAACATAAGTTTTAAGCTTGGGCAAATTGGTTTTCCAGCTAAAAATATTTCACTGAAAATATTTTTACAAGCCTAGTGACACAAGCGGCCATGAGCACAAAGTGGCAGATAAAGCAGAAAGCTGGAATGCCCCCCGGAAAAATAAAGTTATATATTTATCTGCATGCATCTCCATACAAGTTGCAGATAGGCCGATGGTCATTACCAGAAAGCAAGTCCCTGCCTTCTAAGCATCTCTGCCACGTTTTCTCTTATCTATTTCTTGTCTACAGCTGGAGAACCTCAGCAGCGAAGACGCTCTGAATTTGAAGGAAAACGGTACGACCACATCTGTGTATATTTAAAAACATAAGAAATCATCCAGCTCTGCTACCTAAGCAGCTGAGAACCTATCCTTGAGGAAATAACTCACCATCTGCATATTTCGTGACAAAAGGTGTTTTAAAAACAAGATTGATACAGTTGATTTTTTCCTTCACGAAGAGCTTTGCAGGCGGTGAGTGCCGCTGCACCACCCATGCGATGGAAGCGCAGCCGCTCCAGCTGCCTGTGGTACAGAAAGCACCGCTCTGCTTGTTCGAGGCATCAGAGGTGTGAATTCTTCTGAAGTATTTGCAAGCAGAGTTTTGCAACGTAAATAGCTTCTAATATTGGGACTGATGGTTATTCATGTTTATTTTCTTACAAAGGCGAACGAGTCCCACTCTAAGAAGCACTTACACAACCTGCAGTTATCTGTAAGGAGCCCTATGATTTAGCGGCGTTACCGGTTACACTGACGCGTGGGCAGCAAAAGGGCAATTTCAGCTCCGTCGCCTCCCTGCCTCCAAGCCTTCACAGGCTGCCTTGCCTCCTCCAAACTCTCTCCCTTTATCTGATACAAGTTACCCGAGGTGCCAGTTGCACACGTGAAACCACAGCCGGCACCAGGGCTTTGACACTTGAAGCATCAGGAATATTTATTCTTATTTTCCCCAAGTAAAAGTCCCTGCCCTTTACTCACATTTAACTTTTCTTCACACTTCTCTGTCTCTCCCTGCAGCACACCAGAAGAAAGGACACGTAGTCAGAAACGAAAAAGGTTATAAAGAAAAAAAACTCTTTTGATTTCTTTGAGCAGCAAGAGGCAGCACTTTTTAGTCACCTTGTTTGCTGCAAACTTCTTGAGAACTCCAGGCTGAACCCATTCAGATTATTAAAATCCATCGGTTTTCCCCCAAACTAGTTATTCTCATTGCCACAGGGCACGCTCACAGTTTCCAGCTTCAAGCAAAGGGGTTTTCTAGCACCAGAAATAGGGAACCTATTTGCCAAGGATGTTGTTTTGCAGCATTTCTGATGTCGGTATCCACAGCCCCGTGGTCTGCAGCAGCCCCAAGAAGGGAAGACACCACTGGGGCAATCTGCAGTTTATCTGCACGTCCCTGGGGCAAATCTCAATCTTCTTCACCTGAACTGGGCTTGCCCAGGAACCCCACAGCTTTGAAAGACACAAAACTCACTTAAATCCTAGAAGGACAGCAAGCCACTTGCAGGCAGTCGTGGAAAGCTCTGAAGACAACCAGCTTTCCATCCCTTCACCCTCCTTACCGCTGCGACAAGTGAACGGGGGACAGCGTTACACAGAGGTGGTTTCACTCGTTGCAAGACGACGGCCGGTTATGATGGCAGCCGAAAACGCTCTGGAAGCGAGGGAATAGCGAATGAATAACTGAACAGCAACCTGTGCTTGGTTGCTGAGTTTTTATTTTATTGCACACAAGCGTTTTGTTAGAAATGTAGTTTTGCTTTTAAAAAAAAACAACAACCACCAAAACCACCTTATTCACTGCTTCTCTACCAGATTTTAACTGACTGAGATGAGAAATCACACAAGAAAGAGCATCCTTAAGTTATTCTGCACGCACCCTTCACAATTTCACATCAAGGACAGCAAATTTCCCCAAGAAAACACCCTAGTCACCAGCACCCCCATCAAAAGGCACTTTCCAAGCGCAGCCACGTGTACTGAAAAGCACCTTGCGAGCGCAATCGGGGTTTTGGGGCGAAGGAACTGCTGCTCCAGCAAGCCCTCCAGTCTGGCTGGCTTACTTTGGAGCCCTTGAAGATTTACATCTGGCCGCTCTCCACTGAACTTTGTGCCAAGAAACTTGAGTAATAAGGAAAAGGTGGAAAGAAAAGCCAGCTTTCCCCAGAAGACACTTTGCATACCAGTTGCCTGCTAGGAACCAATTAGAAATGAAGTCAGCATTTTTCCTACAGAGAGGATTCTCCAGGCTTCAAACCTGGTCTTCCCTCACCAGAAGTGAAGGGAACCACCACAAGAAGACAACAAAGTACATCTCATACCATGCTGGATTGAATAACACTGCCCTTTTCCTTCAGGAAACAAATTAATTCATTGCCCTCCCCAACGCCGCGCCACTCCCTCGAAAAGTTTCAACTTCTTTAGAAAAAGAGATAGCAGATACTTTTTTTTTTTCCCGTAGAGAAAACAGATTGGAATGAACTCATTTAAATCCGTGTTCTCAGGCTTCCACTGGATGGGTCAACATTTAATTGCAGTGGTGGCAGCAAGAGCTCCTTCACCATCAAATTAGACGGGAACACAACCAGTGTCATTTTGACAGTAGATAACGAGCGCCGTAGCCAAACTCTAGTTTTGTGGTGCCGATTACTGTGCAATTCATTTGCATTTACAGACAAGGAAGAACACCACACGTACAAGCACCAGGGCCTCGTTTTACTGGGTATGGTTAGCCAAGCGCAATGCAGGATGAGAACACGGATAGGCCCAGGGTGACACCTTCTCGTTTGCATCGCAGCAGAGCTTTGCTTGCGAGATGACTGTGTTTCGGTGCTACACATGGTGCTGGTCAGTCCCAGGAGCAGCACGTTGGATGGAAATGGCTTGAAACCACTTAAAAAACTGTGACCTACGCAAGGGTTGCTGAGGTGCTGCTTGAGAAAGGCAGGGAGATCACAGAATCAGAGAATCGTTAAGGTTGGAAAGAACCTCTGAGATCATCGAGCCCAGCCTCTTAACCTAACTGCCTGGTCCTCCTCTAAACCATGTCACTAAAATGCATTAGTCGAGTTGAGAAGAAGCTGGCACACAGGATTTTTAAACACGAAAAGAAGAGACTGGACCTGATGAAAGGGAGTCGGAATGAAGTTGTGATCGCTACAGCTTAACTGATGTTCCCATGCGTGACCGTAACGCAACACAGCGTTGCCTCCACAAGCACAGGAGTTCTTTGAATCTCTGTAAAAGAGGACACACTAGAAACCAAGAGAATTTAAGTGCAATTAGCCCGTAACGATAAGCAACTGTCAATTAGCAAACTCCTTAAATGGATCCTAGATGACTGCACAGTTTGAGGAAGGCATCCTACCAAAGAGCACTAGCAAGGAAGACAACGTACGGAGCCATGACACAGGAGCATAAAGCCCTGGGCTCCTCTGGGATAACCGGAGAAGCGAAAAGGTCCCCACGATACGATTGCACTGGTCTCCTCTGACCCGACGCTCAAGCCTCCCAGAAGAGTGCAATACAAGCTGCTCACCTGGTGTGAACAAGGCGGAAATAATCGGGAACCTCGCGCTCTCAGCCAGCCACCGAGCCAGACGCCATGGAATTCGCTACGCTGACACTCAAAGTCAGTCACGGGGGAAACCAGAGTCAGACCCAGAAGCATGGAAGACGACGGCAGTAGTAGTTTACATGGCCATACATCTGTCCCTAAGCTAAACCACTAGATAGAATATTTGCATTGCTACAGCTTCCATCAAGAGAAGCTTGTTACCATGGTGATTGTACATACTGGTGGGAACGGAGTATTTAATGTACGAATAATAAACTTCTCAAACAAGTGAGAAATTTCAAGTGCATTTTAAGTGACATATAAGAAGGAGAAAATACAATCATTTCTTTTTCCAGTTGTGTTGGGTACAGTTGATTTCCTCTTTGAGAGGATTCAAGAAGTGCC